CCCCTTTAATAAATGTAATTACTTATTGAACATTGGTGTATTTAATAGATATTGCTATTGTTGTTGTTTTGGCTTTATATCATACTTTATATCAAAAGCCACATCTCGTCACTTATTTCTTTATTATGAGAAGGATATTTCTGGTTCTGGATGTCAGTGTTGTTGTTGTAAACTACACTGAAAAAAAATCGGTGAAACAACTTTTACGTAGAAATTTTACAATTCATTTCAAAGAAACAGTAAGCAACACACTAAATTAAATGCGAAATTTTGAAGTAGAAAGGCTGAAATAGTATTTTCTTGTAAAACATATTTTCTTCCAAAACATTCTCCAGTATATTTTATTTACAACTTTGAAAAATATTTTTTTAAAGTGTAAAACTATCATTAAAATTGTATTTGATAATTGTAATAAAGCTGAAATAAAATTAGAAAAAAATTATTAGATAAAAATCTTTAACTTAAAAATGGTTTTGTCAAAGAAATAAAGTAAAATAAGTTGAAGTACTAAAATGACTAAAAATAAAACTACATAAAAATAAATTAAAGCTTAGTATAAATATAAAAAAATAATGTTTTAATGTTTAGTTTTTGTTTTTACATTTGTATTTAACTTTAATATATTTTTATTTGCATAACAAAATTACTAAAATTAAAACTGAAATATAAAATGAATTAAACCTATATTTCTATTTAGCTTTCATGTATTTTATATTTCAGCTTTAATTTTATTAATTTACTAATGTTTTTTTTCGTATTATACATTTTTATTTATATAACAAAATTACTAGAACTTAAACTGAAATTATATAAAATAAATTAAAAAGTAAAGCTAAATAGAAATATAAAAAGCCTAATGTTTTGTCATTTAATTAGTTAATTTTTAAAATATTTTTATCTAGCTTTAAAATGGTTTTATTTACTTAACAGAATTACGAAAAGTGAAATAAAAATAAATTAAAGCTAAATAGAAATGTTTTTAAAAAATCATAAAAAGAGCATAACAAAATCACTAAAACCTAAGCTAAAATTTAAATGCAAACTGAAAATATGAAAATAAATGCTAATTAAAATATTAATAAGTACTCTAATAGTATATAAATAATACTAAAATAACACTACTGGACGTTACCTGCCATAATTCTTATCCAAACATTTCTGTAGGTTGGAGAACAGGCCAAAGCTCAGGACGGACTGAAGAAGCGCATGGATAAACTCAAAGCCACCCTGGAGAAAACCCATCAGGCTTTAGAGGAGGAGAAGCGCAGAACAGTCGACCTGCTCTACTCCATTTTTCCCGGCGATGTGGCTCAGAGACTGTGGCAGGGCCTTCCCGTTCAAGCCAAGAAGTTTGATGACGTCACCATGCTGTTCTCTGACATCGTGGGCTTCACGGCCGTGTGCGCGCAGTGCACACCAATGCAGGTCATCAGCATGCTGAACGAGCTCTACACGCGCTTTGACTACCAGTGCGGAATACTGGACGTCTATAAGGTACGTCTGTCTCTTTTATCACACTCCATCCATAACTTTAATCAAGACCATCTTAGCAACCACCCTGAAGCACTAGTAACCTCCTAGCAACCACCCAGGACACCCTAGCAACCACATAGCAGCCAACTTCCTAGAAACCACCTTGAACATCTAAGCCATAACATATAAATCACCTAGTAGCCACTTACCAACTGCATAGAAACCACCTAGTAACACTCTATCAACTGCATAGCCACCCTGAACATGCTAGCAATCACATAGAACCCAACTTTCTAGAAACCCCCCTGAACGCTTTAGAAACCACATAGTGTAACACCTTAGCAACTGCATAGCAGCACCTTAGCAACTACACAGAAACCACATAGCAACCTCCTAGAACACCACAGCATATAAACCACCTAGTAACACCTTAGCAACTGCACAGAAACCACCTAGAAATCTCCTAGAACACCCTATCATAGAAACCACCTAGTAACACCTTAGCAACTGCATAGCAACATCCTAAAAACTAAATAGTAACCTCCTAGAAAACACCCTAGCAAACAAATAGAAACCACCTAGTAACACCTTAGCAACTACATAGCAACACCTTAGCAACTGAATAGTAACCTCCTAGAAAACACCCTGAACACCCACGCAAACACATAGAAACCACCTAGTAATACCTTAGCAACTGCATAGCAACCTCCTAGAAACAACCCTATAACCCAACTTAATAAACCAACTTCCCAAAAACCACTCCAAACACCTTAGCAACTACATAGAAACCACCTAGCAACACTTTAGCAACTGAAACACTGAAAGCACCTTAGCAGCTGCATAGAACCCACCCAGTAACACCGTAGCAACCGCATAACAACACCATATTTTAGATTAAGTCTATTTTAGGTATTAGTATTTTTGCTTTGGTGAAATATGACCGTGACATGTTCTTGACTTGTTTCAATTTACAACACTATATTAAAGTACAGATCTGAGAGGCCATCAGCATTTAAAAGCTTTTAACTTTACAAGCTGATCTTTAAACACACACACACACACAGTGTGGACCGTTTTGTGTTCAATGAAAAGGCACTTAGTGAGTGTATGTCAATAAATTGTCATTATAAATGGCGGCCCTCCATTACAGCAAATACAAGTGTGTGTTGTGTGTCTGTGTGTGTGTGTGTGTGTGTGTGTGTGTGTGCGATCTGCTGATGGCAGCTCTTATACACACATACAGACATTCTCAAGGTTTGTGTTTTCTGTAGCCTGTATGTAAATGGGGTTTGCTGATTCCTGTGCTGGCATCAATGCGTCTCCAGAGAGAGACAGATTCATATTCATGTCTCTGCAACAGTTTTTGCATTTATGACTTTTTGTAGTATTATGTGGTGAATCTTTACCAATAATCATTATGCAATAACAATTAGCTGTGAATGTTTTAGTGCACAAGCTAAATATGCCGTAAGCATCTGAATATTAGCTGAAATGACATGAAATATATATATATTTGGGTATTCTGTAAACAACATGGTAAATTAAATAAAAATAGCATTGTGTGTTCATAGAGCGATTATATGTGTTAAAAATATTTTTTCCAGTCGTTTACATAATTATTTCAATTTTATTGGTTTGTAATTCCTGGATCTTGGCTGAAGTTGATGGAATTTGCATTAATTATTTTGATAGCAAAATCCTGGCCATACATGAAATCAATACTATATGATGCTTAAAACAAATATGCATTTAATATATTAATATGCAGTCATTGTCGTGGTGTATTGAAATGGTACATTCCTTTCTTATTAACTTTCAGGTTCCCCCTATTATTATAGTGCATCCCGAGGCTCCGCCACTGCCTATGACCGCCACTAGTTACCACAGAAACCAAATCAGGCGGCACGCCCATGGACTCAGACTTCATATTCTGCCAGTGTGAGCAGTGCAGCTGATTGAACAGAGTGGTTTCATGCAGTCACATGATGAAGAATAGACCAATCAGGAACAAAAACATCTCGACGACAATTCAGCCAGTCGCACGAGCCTCAAACCGACAAACGAACAATAAATGTATAACTCAAAGACTGAGGGTAAATATGATTTTTAAAACAAAATTAACATCTGCTTTTTTAATACTTTTATATTTTGTCCGTTCATTAATATTATTCATAGGTATTCATACTTAAAGAGGTTCTAGCATATATATGTATTTGTTTGTTTGGATAGACACTGAAATGAATGATATCAACGGTTGGACATTTTCTAAAATGAAAATTGCTAATACAGTGGGTACGGAAAGTATTCAGACCCCCTTAAATTTTTCACTCTTTGTTATATTGTAGCCATTTGCTAAAATCATTTAAGTTAATTTTTTTTCCTCATTAATGTACACACAGCACCCCATATTGACAGAAAAACACAGAATTGTTGACATTTTTGCAGATTTATTAAAAAAGAAAAACTGAAATATCACATGGTCCTAAGTATTCAGACCCTTTGCTGTGATGCTCATATATTTAACTCAGGTGCTGTCTATTTCTTCTGATCATCCTTGAGATGGTTCTACACCTTCATTTGAGTCTAGCTGTGTTTGATTATACTGATTGGACTTGATTTGGAAAGCCACACACCTGTCTATATAAGACCTTACTGCTCACAGTGCATGTCAGAGCAAATGAGAATCATGAGGTCAAAGGAACTGCCTGAAGAGCTCAGAGACAGAATTGTGGCAAGGCACAGATCTGGCCAAGGTTACAAAAAAAATTTCTGCTGCACTTAAGGTTCCCAAGAGCACAGTGGCCTCCATTCCTTAAATGGAAGACGTTTGGGATGACCAGAACCCTTCCTAGAGCTGGCCGTCTGGCCAAACTGAGCTATCGGGGGAGAAGAGCCTTGGTGAGAGAGGTAAAGAAGAACCCAAAGATCACTGTGGCTGAGCTCCAGAGATGCAGTCGGGAGATGGGAGAAAGTTGTAGAAAGTCAACCATCACTGCAGCCCTCCACCAGTCGGGGCTTTATGGCAGAGTGGCCCGACGGAAGCCTCTCCTCAGTGCAAGACACGTGAAAGCCCGCATGGAGTTTGCTAAAACACACCTGAAGGACTCCAAGATGGTGAGAAATAAGATTCTCTGGTCGGATGAGGCCAAGATAGAACTTTTTGGCCTTAATTCTAAGCGGTATGTGTGGAGAAAACCAGGCACTGCTCATCACCTGTCCAATACAGTCCCAACTTTATGCTGTTGGGGTGTTTTTCAGCTGCAGGGACAGGACGACTGTGTAACGAATCAGCTCATGTGAAATATGAATAACTAACCATAACTAACGAAGGAGTGGCTTCACAACAATTCTGTGACTGTTCTTGAATGGCCCAGCCAGAGCCCTGACTTAAACCCAACTGAGCATCTCTGGAGAGACCTACAAATGGCTGTCCACCAACGTTTACCATTCAACCTGACAGAACTGGAGAGGATCTGCAAGTAGGAATGGCAGAGGATCCCCAAATCCAGGTGTGAAAAACTTGTTGCATCTTTCCCAAAAAGACTCATGGCTGTATTAGATCAAAAGGGTGCTTCTACTAAATACTGAGCAAAGGGTCTGAATACTTAGGACCATCTGATATTTCAGTTTTTCTTTTTTAATAAATCTGCAAAAATGTCAACAATTCTGTGTTTTTCTGTCAATATGGGGTGCTGTGTGTACATTAATGAGGAAAAAAAATTAACTTAAATAATTTTAGCAAATGGCTGCAATATAACAAAGAGTGAAAAATTTAAGGGGGTCTGAATACTTTCCGTACCCACTGTATATACAAATATAACCTGTTTTGCCAGATGGATTTAAACCGCGTTTTTCTGTTAGCTTTTGTTCGTCGTGCTCTGCCCGGTTTAATGTTTCTCGCAGCGAGACACACGTGTGTGGGGTTGTGTTAAGGATCTTGTGTTAACAGCTCCATCGGCAGCACTGGACTCACCGTAGCGACGGAGTGAGAGCGTGGAATCTGGTCGCCATGGAGACGGCGGAACACTCCAAGTGCTTGCAGCTAATTGATTGTTAGATTGTTGCTGTTTTCTCCCATTTAGAGGGAGTCAACGAGCCAATCGCTGCGTCTGAGAGGCTCGTGTGTGTGTTTAGAAGCGTCTCTAAGCATGTTGTGTCACGTCTATATAGTAACAAATGCAGCAATGATTGTGCTTGTTTATTTAAACTGAATGATTTTGGAATATGATTCTGCAAATGATCTGTAAATTAAAAGTGTGTGTGTGTGTGTGAACTAAAACCACAAATTTTTTTTAATTGAAACAAAATAAACATTAATTGAATTAAAATATAAAAACTTGTTTTATTTCAGTTACACTGAAAAAAATAGGTGTAGGGTTTACTTTTAAAGAATTTCCACTCAGACATTGCTAGTAAACTTCACAAATAATAGAACTAATTTTTATATTAACTTTAAATACTAACATAACTAAAACTAAATAAATAAAAACGAATTAATAAAAATGAGTAAAAAGGGATATAGACATATTTAAAAAAAAATTGAAAACTAATAAATATAACAATTAACATTTTTTTCAATTAAAATGAAAATATGAAAATAAAATCTACTTCAAAATAACTCAAACTAAATCAATTAAAATTAAGTAATAAAAATGATGCATACAAATTACAAAGACATAAAAATTAAAGCTAATAAAAATGATTCAAATTAAACATAAAAAACATTCAAATTAAAGTGAAAACAGGAAATATAAAAACTAAATTCAATTAAACATAAAATAACTAAACTAAATAATATAAACAAATAAAACTATATAGACATATTAAACCACTGCCCACTGCTCTGGTGTGTGTTCACGGTGTGTGTGTGTGTGTTCACTGCTGTGTG